TACAGCATCAAATAATGATAAACAAATATATATGTATGACATATAGAAACTCCAACGTCCAAATAGCCAACGAATTTTGCAATAAACTATGTTGCCAACTAATGGATCAATGCCAGTAATAGTGAGCATACTACGTGGAAAGCGAGATGCCCACAAAGATGTTAAATTACTCGTAAAAAACATAATCAAGAAAATACAATTTGACATTTGACGAAGTGTTTTATTCCGAAGGAAAACAAGAATATTTATTAGATTTCCTATTGTACCAATGATAATGAAAATCATTATACCATAACCATCGAGAAATTTAGCAATTGATTGAAGACGAAGAATTTCTTCTTTATCCGCTGAACTTGACATCGTTTTGATTCAAAAACAAATTTTGATCTGGATTCACCTTTTTCTAGCGATATGAATGACATAGATTCTTCATTTTCATTATTATTATATATAATAGTCAGTTATTGCACTATGTTATAAAATGCTAGATGGAAATTACGTATCTATGTGTCAGATTAAAATATTACAAAACGTCATCAAGAGATTATTGTCATCTTTGAGCATTATGAAATAAATCGCATAAAAAAACTCGAATATTTTGTTTTAATAAAATTAATGTCATCAAGGTCTGGAAGGTAGATGTGTTTGTTTGATCTTCATTTTCACTTACATATTCATTATTAAAAGAGATGCTTATTTGACCGATTCATAGAATGCACTTATATGTCAATAATAAGAAACTAGTGAGGGGGAAAGGGTGCACTTGAACGATCTTAGCTCCCTAAACAAAAAATTCTGGTACCGCCTCTACACTGAACCATAGGGCTAGAGGTGAAAGAAAGATGCTTTACCTGTCTACAAAGAGGATGGTACGAAAAAAGATGGATTGGGTAGCGTGAGTTGCAATGGTACTAATTGAATGGCTGACACTCAAGGAGTTATAGTCAAGATGGCAACATGGGAGTGAATGTGCAAAGATTAAATACAAAGCTTCTGTACCTTCCGTGGTCGCTCAATCAAGCAGCAAGTCTAGAAACTAGATTCATCATCGGTAAATATATCGAACTGACATTTTACATCCTGAAATTATCCATAATCAACAGGTCCTAATGAAACGGATTACTAGTCTGATAATCATGTGTGTTAATGACAGTATTATTGTGATTCATTAAATCTTTGTTCGATGATAGATCAGATCCTTTTTTGGAATATGCATAATCTTTCTCTCCGACTTCCAACTCACAAGATAACATACTCTGCTATGCTTGTGCTTGACGACCATTTGAAATCCCCAAATTAGTGGCGTAGCCAGAATTCGACTGGTGGTATGGCGAGGCCTTACAATCTGTTAAAAATCTACCATGTCACTCGATGTTTATCTGATGGTTGAAAATTAATATTTGGTCTTTCAGACATTTTTTCTTTTCACTATAGTAGTGGAAGCTGAACTTATATCTATTGTATCATGCAAACAAGGTCGAAAGAGCTATCATTGTACCGCACCTAAGAAATCCGTGTTTTTTATAGTAATAAATCGCCAAAAAATCGTAGTTTCGCGCGATTTTTATGATGGAGTGTCACATCGTACAGTGACAAATAATCGATTTCCATAAAATCATGTCTTTTTAGATGGTAATTTTTGACGACGAAGAAAAATCGTAAGGTCGGACGATTTTATTTAGATTGACGGTCGGCTTTCACCAGAATTCCGATTTATCGCGACAGATTCTACAATTGATGAACCATGATATTACGATATACTCACTAATTTTGAAGCGAGTTGGGGAGCATGGTGTTTATTATGTGAAACTGTAGAAGCCAATTCCAGATTCTCTTTCATAGTTTGAATTAAAAGAAGATGAAATAGTACTGTATTGTGATCCCTTTAAAACTCAATTCATCTCTTGATTTTTTGATTAATCGGCCCACAGAGTTAAAAAGTGGTATTTTGATTTTCAAATAGTAGTAGATACCACTAAATTATTAGATTGCTTTTATAATTCTCAAGACACTCCTTATTATCAGAAATATATTTTTATGCTACTTTTATAATAATTCAAAGAAGGAATAATGTACTTAGCGAGAAATTTTCCTCCGTAGCCTGGCAAAACATACTGGTGGTATGGCCATGCCAGGCCTTAGATACGCCACTAATCATCGACTCTCTGCTGACGTTTTTCGTCCGGTGATCTAATACGCTTCATATGAAACGGCTCCTTTTATCTGCTGCAGTTGATGTGACAAACCACTATGTTCCAATCACTTTTTCTTGAACTATCCTTTTCATTGATTTACTCTTGTCAGAACTTTTTTTTGTTTAAAACGAAATCAGATATAGAACGAAGAATTTTTGATGTTCTATAAGTTGATGAACATAGCCTATAGAAGAGATACCCATAACATACGATCTAGCTCTTTATTCAGAATAGGTTAAACAAACTATGTACGAAACTTTGAACAATTTTCAGTTGAATACTGTACTATTCTCCGAAAGCGATCATTTTTTGTTTCAGTTCCCTTTCGTAAAAATCTTGAAAATACAATATCTCGGAAATAAAGGCGCGAGCGTACGAATTCTCTTGAGCTTTTTCATACCTTATTTAGATCTAGCTATAGCCATAGCAGATGAGAACTCAAAAGCTTAAACACCTGGCGAAATTCCCACGTCAGTAGTCACTCAAATACTCTGGAGTCGAATTCTTTGACCGAACAGAACGGTCACGCAGTTTTTTAAACTTTATGGCGGCGAAAAATGTTGGATCAATTTTAATGGACATAGTGGAAAATCTGATAGTCAGCGAACGCGGTACTAATCAAAATTTGTCAGTCGTTTTGCTGGAATATCCTCGAAATGTTTTTCATGAATTTGAAGATGAAAAGGAGCTTTTCGAACGTCTATAAAAGTCGTAATCTCAGTGATCGAAACCTGTACATGAAGCCAATATGACGGTCGCACTAGAGATTGATCTATCATTAGCCACAATCCATAATTTGGATTGACTATCTGCATTTACTGACTTGATACCCACAGTCCTACATCCAGTTTTTCACGGACTCTCATATGCTATAAAATTCAGTAGGAACCTGCTTGTGAATCACGTCGTTATCTCTCTCCCATGTAAACGCCAGACGCAGGATAAACGCGTTCCGACGCAATTTACTTCGCAAATCGCACGTAGACGCGGTTTAAAATCAATTTTATCGCGTTCAACCGCGTATCTCAAGATAACTGCGTCTGAATGCAAAACAAAATAATTTTTTCTTGCACTTTGACGCAATTTTGTGTATGACCGCGTTCAGACGCAGCCAAAAGACTTTTTAGCNACGGCTCAGCATCCAAAGCGGCTTGCAAGTCACCTTCGTCCAAAACCGCTGGTCGTCCGGAACGTGGCATGTCTTCAAGATCAAAATCCCCTTCATTGAAACGCTTGAACCATTTCTGTGCAGTTCGCGATGCCACCATGCCTTCACCTTCAACGTCGCAAATTGCTTTGGCAGCTGCTTTTGCATCCAAATTCTTTCTCCAATAATGACGCAGCAATACGCGAAGCTCAAAACTTGTGATTTCGTAACCAGACATCTTAAAGAAATCCAGAAAATTTCATAATAGCCACAAAACCAGATCAAAAACACAAAAAATATACAGAAAAATCATTATTTTAACACCGCGCACGAACTTTTTCCCCAACCTAATATAATTTGGATTGACTATTTGCATTTACTGACTTGATAACCATAGTCTTTGGCTCAGTTTTTTAGAAGGTCTCATTTGGTATAAAATTCAGTAGGAACTTGCTTGCGAATCACGCTGTTATCTCCCTGGAAAAAGGTTAGGCAACATCCTGTACATCTCTTGTCGGTATAGAAATTAGTAGTTCGACAAAATAACAATATAGTTTAGTGTTCATTATGTCCCCATTCAGAAAGCGAAAGCTGAGAAGCGTCTATCCAGCACTCAACATTTTTCGAAGGTCAATTTTCATACTGCTTGACGATTATTACAAGTCTATCCATCATCGCACTTATTCAACTTCGGAGTAAGTAACGGATACATTTATTATTAAATCTTCCATTTTTTTAAATCTATTGTATGTTTACAGCCATGCTCCGACCCGTCGATATTCTGCAATTGCTCTAGATAGCTTTAGATTTCCACAACATCTAGAAAATTTCAATGACTACAATGATTTACGTGAAAACTCTGGTTCAATTGATATGGCACGGAATCGTTTTTTTGAGATTTAGCTCATTTTTCATGAAGCAGTTCAGTCTCATCTAATGATCCTGTACGCTGGCTTACCAACCAACAGTCATTCGATGGGGGATGGCTGTCGACCGACAAAGATTGCTATAGCTATACTGGAGTTAAAATATATGTCCATTAAAAGAATATCTGGTCTTGATATTCATCAATTTTATATATTCATTAATGATATTAAAAAGACTGTATAACTATAGAATCTTGGTTTACACCTACCCCTTTTTCTATTTATTATTATCTAAAGCAGAAGTACTTCGATATCAAGGTGTATGACGTTTTCGTTCAGTTTGACGCTTGCAATTGACTATTTATTGTATAAGACGGTATGAAATAAATATAAAATTCAAACGATATCAAAAGGTATGATCCTCAATTAGTTGTACTGCCTGGAAAAACAGCTCGTTGATTATGTTTCCAAGAGCATAAATTACGAAGTTTGTCTTTTAATTTAGGCAATGCTAGTAGAGTAGCAAATGGTATGATTATTGAAGGAACTAACGTCATACGCGCTAAATATGGAAACCAAATGTTACTTCCAAATGTTGAATAGCCAGATACTTGCACAATAAAAACAATGACAGCGGGAATATCAAAAATCATATAAACTGTTGATATTAATGTTATTTGAATGATCATTTTTCGACATTGACGCCATGTAACGTTTTGTTGTAAACGTTGCTTTTGTCGTAGGAATCTACATACAAGTGTTATACTGCAAACAGGTATTAGAAGAATTGGTAATATATAATCGATGTATGAATCATACAATTGTAACCAAACAGGAGCATCTATGTATAAACATATTCCACCACAAAGAATTGTTGATTCAGTATAAATTTGTCCACATGATTGAATGAAAACTAAATAAACATAAATCATTGGTGTATAAAGAGAAAAGAATATCAATAAAATATAATGAAAAAACACTTCCGTTCGATATTAAACCAAATGATGCCCAAAACATTAATGAAAGTGCACCATACCATATACCATTATCAACAAATTGCCATAGGAGACAAGCAGTTTGATTAAATGGTGAAACATAACCAAGACGATTAAAATTCAGCGTCATTGGTAAATCAAATGTGACAATGAGAAGATTATAAAATAATAATATTAAAATTACATGATTATGAAGACTTTGTCGAGCCGTTTTCTCATTTAAAAAGATGATAAAATACAAATAAATAACAAGGAATGGAAAAAATAATACCAATGAGAAATAACGAAAATTCAATTTTTGGCCAAAAATTTGGAACATTCGATTGTTGAGAAGGAAAATTTCCAATTTGAAATTTTAATATAATGCAAATGCATAAGAATGTAAAAAAGAATCATGAGATTTGTATNTTGGAACATTCGATTGTTGAGAAGGAAAATTTCCCATTTGAAATTTTAATATAATTCAAATGCATAAGAATGTAAAAAAGAATCATGCGCTTTGTATACTTGTCTACTTAGATTATGATAAGAAAAATGAAGATAGAATAAGGCAACGCTAATTATCATCAAACATTTCAACATATATTCAGAGGATCGGAAGAGTTGTTATCTTATAAATTCAAACAAACAACCATGAAAAATATGTTTTGATATCCATGAAATGTGTGTGTCTGAATATATTATCCTCTTTAGTTAAGAAATTGATGACCTCGTTTCTTTCGTTTTATTAAAACTGAATTAAACCATTTCATTATGAAAATCATATCGAGAAACTTGTTTTGAGCGACAAAACCAAATTATTAAAAACTTTTTGCATTTTAGCTATGACTATTAGCATTCTTGGGCTCCATAATTTTCTTCAATGTCGTGACATATTTGTAATGTAAACAAAGAATAAGTTGACAAACTCCCGCTATTATTCTATTTGCCGAAAAAGTTTTAGAAAGATTTCAAATTGTCCCAATGATCAGAATTTAAGATGGTGTAAGACATCTTATTCGATTTTTATATCATTTAATATGAATATGTTTAACCGATATAGAAATAATTCTGGTTTAATATCGAACGGAAGTGTTTTTTCGTGTGATTCGAAATACATTATAAAATCTTTTCTTCGATATACAATATACATTTACAACATAAAAGGTTAAATGATGTTGATTATCAATATATGTAAAAGAACCTTGTTGCTTTTCGAATTATCAACGTGAGATTTCGATCATAAGATCATCTTTGGGTATGTTACCATGATAGTACAATTTGGATCGATGTCATTTTAGCGTCGAAGACAAAATGAATAATTTCTATCTACTTTCGTCTGAATACGTTTTATCGTGTGAACATTTTAGTATTATTGAAATAATCATGAAGAATTACTCGGAAGAAAAAAAAGGATGAAACATAGTAAATATTCTAATAGATTTGGTATGTAAATCATATTTATTTCGTGATGTAGAAACGAGTATTGGTTACCCGTGATTCAATTGAACTTTTATTGAATATTCAAAGCGATTGTTAAGATTTGAGAAATTTTCATACCAATAACGAAAATATGAGCACATTCAAATATTTTATGAGTTACGCATTTCGTTAGATAGATACATGTACGATATTGTGACGGAAATGACATTGATAAACATGTTAGTGGTGATCATATAAGATTCGGAAGAAGTTGTCAATTGGATCTTCGTAGATGGGAAGCGAAGTTTGAAGGCAATGCCCTAGCCATGTGGCTTCTAATTTCTTCGTTCAATATTCAGCAGGATCGTTTTTCAAACTTAATGAACATGAATGGAAGCAAGCTGCGAAAAAGGTCCATCATTAAACACAAGTGGTGACTTCGATTATGTTGAACGAACTACCACCGCGTGTATCAAAATTGGATCCGATGCATATTTCAACAACGAAACAATCTTGGATCAATTTGAGAGATTATTTCAAATGCTCGAATTGATATAGGTGTGGGCATCGCACAGATTCATAAGAGCAAGACTTATTCATTACAAGATTTTAGAAAATCAGTGGGAGGCCATTGTGCCATTGACTATGTCGAATATCTTGATGAAGATGGTAATCCACACATTATTAATTGTTTTTTTAAGAAGGATAAAAAAAGTAAATCAAACGGTTTAGTTGAAATATGTTAAGACATAGGTATACGCCTATCATCTAAAATTAAATTAGAAGAAATTCGAGAACTACTGTCCGGATATTCAGGATTTAGAAACGTAAGTAAAAGCAGTTCTACTTCGTTAAAAGTACATCGCGCACTATATTCTTTCACTGCTTTTTATCTAGGTTACAAAGCACGAAACGCTTGGACTTACATATAAAGATACTAATGTTATGTTTTGTGTAGTAGCGCAGTCAGAGCCGGCCATGTCCGGGCGCCGCTCAACCGCCATAATTTTCGGAGAACTCTCTGCAGGGGCACATAGTTTTCTTGGTCACCGGTTATAGCTTTTGGTAAAAATCTTTAAAATTGTTGTTGTTTTATTTTTCATAAGACATTGCCGCGGCTAATCGTTAAATCTTGACTACACCGCTAATTAAGAGACGTTCCGCGAGAAAACCAAGGATTTTCAGTATAGGTCAGAACACGTGGGTCAACGGATTTCGGATCTGATCCCGTAGGAAGTTGGGCTTCATTGATCTATATATGAATCCAAAATATTACCGTTTGAAGATTCACTTTGAGGGAGTTAGGGTACATCGAACGATTTGACCGAAAAAAATTTCCTCAAAAATGACAAAAATCAAGGTTTTTTGTCTTTCCACTCTTTTTCGTATATGCTTTTCTCTATTCAATTTGAGTCATATACCAATCGATAGAGCTTCACTTGCTCTACAAAACTGCCTATGTGGCATTTTCGATCTCGCTCAAAATCTGAAAAAAAAACTTTGAAAACTTTTTTTTTTGCACCGTCAAAATTTCGTTTTTTTTTAGTATTTTACTCAAACGACCTACTGCGAAATCGATTGCCAAAAATATCTACACGCCATCTTGTAGCCCATTGAATTCTGCATCGAATGTTATATTGCCCGTTTCTCTACAGCGTTCACCGGTCACAAATGGTAAGCACAAAGATTGACCACTGACGTCATTTTTGGCAAAAATGAACACTGTGTGATAAACACGTTTTAAGAATTTTCGTATAAATATTTTACTCTTTTCAAATTGACTTGCACACAAGGCGATAGAGCTTACCTTGTTCTACAAAATGGTATATCTGATATTTTCGCGTAGTTCCAAAATGGTATCCGGAACATCAAAATATTCAATTCGAAAGGGTCACTCACAAATTCGAGCTTGTGAAGCGATTATCGAATACTGTCATTAACATTTTAGCTTTAAAAGTGTCATATTCGGAATCAGCACAAAAAACTGAGCTAGAAATATTATGTTTCAGGTGGCCTTCAAATATTTTGTTTTTCATCAAATTTTGCCTGGGGTACCCCCCAGGTACGCTGTCAAGAAAAATGAAGTGTTTCCAAAATCAGTTCTGGCGATGCAAGACGCATTTAGATCGTGGGAATTACTATTGGGAAGGTGAATTA